TTTCTTTAGTTTTTACTTTATGTATTTTGTAGGTTCATATTGGAAAAGAAGTGTGGATCAGTCAGGATACATGGGATATGTTAAGGGCAAATAAAAAGCATTCTTTATTTGTAAAAAAGTTTCTGTTGTAGTATGCAGTTTGATAAGCTTAAAGACTGTAGTTTGGAAGGAAAATGTGAAATAACTAAAACTGCTGCACAACTTCATTGACTTCTCATAAGTATGTTACAGTGAAAGGTGAGCGTATGAATTCTTAAGGATGTCGTTTAACTCAGGTTTTTAAACAATTATTTTAAAAAATATGAGTAGAAACTACTGCTTATTATTTTTAAAACCTATCTAGGTTTGAAGTTAACATTTTATGTAACCAATAAATCTTCATCAGTTGTCAGTGCTGTCTAAAATTACATTATCTAAAATGGAGTTTTTTGTTTTTTTTCAAGACCAATACATTTTATTTTCATCAGTTCTTTCAGGCTATTACAGAAACTGATTACAACAGAATTGTATTCCAGATGAAGATATAACCAAATGAAGTCATAAAAGCCAAAATGCACTTATCCAGATAGAATAGTTCGATTACTGTCAAACCACTGGGGGTGCAAGGGGCTGTAAGGGAGTGGGTGTGCCATGAAACCTTATAAGTGTAGTGAGCGTTGGTATAATAAGCCAAAATAAAGATGTGGTGTCAGATCACCTAGCTTAGAGCCAATTGCATCAAATTTATCGTGAAGGTAAAAACTATTGATTCAAGTTTCTGAATTAATCTATTTTCTATATATTAAAAGTTGTTAATCTAAGTGATTTTTACAACTAATTATTCTATGAAAATGCCTTATTTCCTTCGGCACTCTGTCCACAACACTTTCATGATTCTTTTTATGGTAATGCTAAACAATATATATCATCACTTAGTAACAAAACTATTATTGCATATTACAGAGTTTTAACTATTATGGGATGTTATGGTTGTCTTTTAACTATTATAGGATGTTATAGAGTGGTTTTTAACTATCATGGGATGTTATAGAGTGGTTTTTAACTATCATGGGATGTTGTAGAGTGGTTTTTAACTATTGTGGGATGTTATACTGTCAACAACACTTTCACGCTCCTTTTGTGGTAATGATCAACAATAGTTTTAAACTATTATTGGATGTTATAGTGGTTTTTTAACTATTATGGGATGTTATTGAGTAGTTTTAAACTACTATGTGATGTTATAGAGGTTTTTAACTTTTATGGGATGTATGTTATACAGTAGTTTTCAACTATTGTGGGATATTATAGTGTTTTAACTTTTGTGGGATGTTAGTATTTTTTTGCTTATAGGATGTTATAGTGTTTTAATTATTATGGGATGTTATAGTGTTTTTTTAAACTATTGTGGGATGTTATAGGGCAGTTTTAACCTCACATTTCATAGCTAACTGAAATAAATAAATTTTGCAAAATCAAGCATGTATGGGATGCTATTGTGATCCAATTCTACTTGTATGCGTTCTATGTGTAGGTAGACATTTATTTCGCAGATAACAACAGGCTCAGTCTGTAGTCTTGTTCCAGGAAGGTGCATTGTGACACGACCATGTTTAAAGGAGTCTTCCAATAATTCTTTTAACCCTATCGTCCCGGATACCCTTTACTGTGCATGACACAAGATTTTAGCGTCTTACATTCAAAATTTTATTAAACTACTTTTTGTTTATGTTATACCAATTAGAATAGCATAAAATCTTAGCTAATAATCCATATTTTAATAGTATACAAGTTTTAAGTTCTTAATTCTACAAGGCAATATTTAAAAAAAATCCAGAATTTCCACTAGTGTGACCCACGTGACACATTTAGTCTTAGCCTGTCATCATCCCTATTTTATCCACCACCACTCGAAAATGTAGGAAATTAAAGGTAAAATACTCTCTATAAAATTGTTATTGCTCAAACAAACCATAATTTTTATAGCTTTCAATCTTGTTTGGTTACAGAGCTATCAAATAGAAAATCAGACCGTTCCTGCCACATCCTCTCTTTCACAATTCGTTGATAGTTCTCTCTTACATTTCATTATATATTACTTATAACCAATAGAAAGTTAAGGATTTCATCTATCAAATGACATATTGTATATCATTGTGTTCTGAACAGATAATCATCAATATCACTCAGAGTAGCAACATTGTTCCCATGGAAAGTTAACAACTAGTTTGGATGAATTTGTAATGGCTCTTGTCACATAGTTAGAAAGTCAGGAAAATCAGGCTTAACTCTCCTCGACAATCAAGGACAAAAAAAAGAAGATTGGGTAAGTACTTTATTTATTGTTTTTCATATTTATTCTTTATTTATTATTATAAATTAATTAAAATCTAAAAATACAGACCTTTTTAAGTTATTTAAGACAAGATTAGGTAAAATAAGTAATAATAATAATAATATAATTAAAATGGTTCATGAGGCACGCATGTGAGCAGCTCATAGGTAATGTAATTTGATAGCGTAACGTGACCTGCACGTTCTCCAAGTGATTTACAACTTACAATTTGAAGTCATTCTAGAAAAAAAAATTAATTTAGGTTTATTTCGATTTTTTTTTGGTAGTGATGAGGTCAGTCAAATTGACCAATCCTGTTTTGAAATAGAGTAGAGAAAATAACAGATAAACTACAAACTTTTACTAAAAAAAATGCTTGAAATGCATTTAGGAGGTTTTGGGGATTACACAAAGGAGATTTTTGAGATGATGAAAAGTATTTTTAATTTAAACATGAAAATTACTTTGCACACAAACTATTCAAAATAAATACTCAATATATTAATGGACAAATCTTTATTTTATTTCATTAGAAATACTTCACTAAGAAATATGAATTGTTGTATGTGAAAGACTTGTAATATTAACTGAAAGACTGCCAAATTTCATGAAGATATATCCAATATATGGAAAGTTATAAGTATTAATTTTATAAACCCTTTAAACGAGTACAATAGGTCACGTGACTCGGTCAAGTCTGTATTGGGAGAGTTAATAGAACATTAGAATCTGAGATGTCAGTACCCTGAATGAGGACACCTCACTTTGATATTTCCTTTGCTGTAGTTAATATCACTGTAGGTTTACACTATGTAACTCTGCCACCAAATGAGTTGCTGTGTATATGCCTGGAACACCTGAGGTTATAGTGTTGTTTTTCTTTGATGTGTTTTGTGGTTACTTGATGATGTGTTCTGTTCTGTTCTGTGTAAATCTTGTGTTTTGTTTCGTGTAGATCTGGTGAGTTTTCTTTGTTTTTTTTTAAGTCACTAGCATAAAGCTTTCAGTATCGATGTCTTGTGTTGCATGAATATCCAAGGTTTGTTTACCTACATTATGAGTGCTATTAACTGTTTTCATGGATATTACAATCAGGTTGTTCTTCATTTACATTATTGGTTCTACTTTCAGTACTAGTTTTAACAATATCTTTATTACTACCAGGATTGTTAATACAAACCATAAACTTTAAATTTTTACCAAAAAGAACTGAGACCCATAAAGTTTTATGAATAGCTAAGCTAGACCAACCAGCTCAGAATGGACAATCACAGAGACGAACTAGGTCATTCAGCAGTGGACTAGCAGCAGCTGAGATAAGCTTGGTCACCAAGCTAAAAACTATCAGCCACTGGGACAAACTAGGCCAACCATTTAAGAACCAGCAGCAGCTGTAACAAGTTGGCCCAACCAAGAACCAGCAGCAGCTGAGAGGGGATGGTTCAACCAGTAGCTGAGAGGAGATGGACCAACCAGCTAAGAACCAGCAGCAGCTGATAAGAGCTTGACCAACCAGCTAAGAATCAGCAGAAGCTTGGCCAACCAGCTGAGAACCAGCAACAGCTGGGAATGACCTGTGCTAACCATTAAGACCATATATCAAAACACAACATTTGCTGTTCCCTACAAAAGAGGGTTCCAGTCCAATGTACAAGATAAAAACATCAGAAAGGTCGAGTTTAGGTAAAGAAATGACATTTTGATAAATGGTGGTGAGCAACATGTGCCATTCATGGAATACAATACATTTCCAGTAGTTCAACACTTGTACCTAACATTTTCAGGTTGTTGGCCTACATGATATGTAGACTGGTAAATTTTTTGTACTTATCTGCATGGCTACAATAAATATGTCTAAAACAAACATTAAATCTAAGAAGTTTGCCAACATTAAAGCTAAGTAATTTAACTGGTTTCCTAAAATCGCTACATCAACAACTAAGACTTGAATATTTCAGATACAATTTTTTTTCACTATTAGTTTTTGTATAAGGCTTAATTTATAATCAAATTCAGATTACTAAAATCATCTACTGATATAGTTAGTTGGTGAAATCACTTACACAATATCTGAAATACATTTTTAATAATTTCCTTTTTTTAGATATTCCTCGTTTTTAGTATCCAAACATTACTCTCCTACACTAAAAAATATTTTCATTTTTGAAATTTCTTTACCTTGACGTGTCAATAAATTCAGTGGTGTACAAAAACTTGGAGAATCAAAACTACTTTATAGATTCTGTGCTAATTAGCTAACTCCTTAATATCATTAAATACAGCAAAAAAACTTGAAACAAAAATTAATAGTAGGTTCAGTGCTAGTTAGCAAAATGAAATCTTAACACAGAAATGTAAAAAACAAAAACAAGAGGAGTAAACTATACCAGGTTAATTCTGAGCCAAAAAAGTTAACCTACTAACTATATCAAGTAAGTAAAAAAAACCAAGAAAATTCAAAATTACACTGTCAATACAAAGCATTCTAACTAAATTCTTGAAATTATTAAAAGGTACTGTACAGAAAATAAAGAACAAACAATACATGTTCTATCCTGTATTAATCAGATATGTCTTTCAGGTTACTAAGTATTGTAGAAAAACTTGACCTGGTCTATACTGAGCCAATTAGTAATGATCTTACTGTTAGTAAAATATGCATGAAAATGTGAAGAATTAAGTATACCTGGTCTATCCTGAGCCAATCAGCTAAGTCTTTGGCATTGGCAAGTGCAGTGGAAAGACCAATGATACGCAAGACTTTATCCATATGCACACATATGAAATTGGTGCGGGAAACTATTACTTCCAATACAGGCCCTCGGTCTTCCCCTGTAATCATTATTTACATTATTCAACAAAGCCACAATGGAAATAATATTCATAGTAATATGTATAATTCTTCAATTAAACAGTGTTTTAACAACAAAAACTAACATTTTTAAAAACTGTTGAAACCATAAGTACAGCCTTCTCTGAAAACTATATCCATAATGTAATACACAATTCCTCCTAAAAACACTATTCTTACTGGAATATGCAATCCTTCCTTTAACTCTTACCAGATATTCAAGGATTTCTTTTTCTCTCACAGTGGAAATCATTAACTAAATTTTATGAAACTTATTACAAATTGACTAAATAATATACAGTTTTGGCTTATCAAATTTAAAACAATTTGACTTATTACTTGTATTATTTTTTAGGTTGTGCAGTTTTTACAATTTTATTGTGATATAATACCATTTGAAAAAAAAAAAAAGAAACATTACAAATATTGCTTATTACCTTAGATTTTAGTTTCTTTTATTGTTCATTAGAAAGTTCCATTTTAAATATCCAGCAGGTTTAAACTTCACTGATATTCATTAACATACTTCATTTTATACTTCATTTTGCCAACTGAAGTATCATCACATATGGGTATAAGTAACTAAAAACACAGCAAAAACTAACAGATAATTATATATGACCCATGACCTCACCTTTTAAAATGATGGCACTGTGATCTTTCTTAGGCCAGGCATTGCAATATATGCTAACAAAACTATACACCTGGAAAAA